CTGAACATGCTCAAAGGGATCACTGTTTCATATGAGCCTGTGGGCTGTGGAACCTGTCTCATGTAAGATTAGGTAGAGTTCAAAAGAAAGAAGGTGTGTTAGAGATGGAGGGAAAATCCTGAATCAGATCTTAAGCCCGCAAAGCAGCACATGGGACTGACTAGTGAGGGAAAATGTATCTTAGTGAAATAAGCACATCAGCATGCATGCTGCATAACCACCAGCACTGGTCTGTGTTCTCTTTTTCTCATAGAAATCATATTATTCTGCATTTTGGCGTGTCTACACTGCTGGCTATGCAGCATCAGTGACTTCACTCGTTACAGCTCTAATTGTCTTTGCTGCCTTCAGGTAAAAAAAAATGGTCTCTTTTTCAGGATGTCTTAAGATAGCCTCATCCTAATTCCTCTCAGACCCTCTGTGCTTTTGTTTTGTGGGATTTTTTTACTATTATTTTCAAATCCTTCTCAGACATAACACCGTTGATGGCAATGGGTCCTTCTCTATTTATGTTGTGGCATTTCCCTGCAGATGTTAAAACAATAAAGCTGGCTGGCCGGTCTGTCTTAGTCTCTTTAATGACACCATACAGTAGAAAAGCTCCAGCCTGTTATCACTATTAACATGACAACTATTCCTCCAGTGCATAGCAGGACATACTCTGCAGAAACAGAGTGTCTCATGTCCCTGGACCAGCAGTAATTCAAAACTGTCCATTCCCTCTGTAAAAGAGCATTGCTTCCATAATTGGGAGCTATAGAAAGAGATTTAAAGACATTTAAATGTCATGTTTGATGCTGTTGGATATTAAGAAATGGATACTCGTCCTGATTGGTTCCAATGCACTTGGACAAAAGCGTTAAGCTTACTCTGCAGACAGGAGTGCAGAGAAGTTGCTACCTAACTGGAGTGGTTTTGCCGTCTCAAAGGTCATATCACTTACAGAGAGACCCAGGACAAAGAGGCCGATCTGTCCAAGCCTTGAAAGACCTTCAGCTCAAGGTCAAACTGTGGACAGGGCAATCTAGGGAAATGCAGTCTAGGGTAAGGCAGCTACTTCTCTGGCAGCCATCCCACAACATGAGACCGACACCTATTCAATGCTGTTTTCCTCTGGCCAGAAAGGGGCTGAAGAGCCTGTTGCAAGCTGGTTCAACAAAAAGTGCTATTCAGAATAATTAAAAAGCATTATTGCAATACAGCCCAAGAGTCCCAGCGTTACTCTCTGCTTCTGGCATCTCCTTTAAACGTGTGGTGTCTCAAGGACAATTATACTAGCACTTTTCTTAGCTTAAACAGATAATAGCTGCTCTGCTCCCTTGTGTCTAGCTCCCTCTTAAATAGTGACAGATCATTTATTTGCTTTGGAAGGTGTCTGAAGTCACCCTGTATCCCTGTCTAAGTTTTTATGAGACCATGAGAAATTTCTCTTGAAGAACAATTTTTATTTTCTCTTTCCATGTCAGAAAATTCCACTGTACACGGAATTACATCCATATGCACCTGTTTGTCTCCTTTATCCTGAGAGCAATTGCTGTTTTCACCAAAGATGCCGTTTTGTTTGCAGATGAAACTATGGACCACTGCCTAATGTCAACGGTACTAAACTTCCCCTCTCTCTCACCCTTGATTTAACATTTAGTTCTTGGCCTGAAGAGAATATGGATGTTTCTTAATCCCATTTCTCCTTAGTTTTCTAGAATTGAAATCTTAAAACAAACAATACTACAGAAACTTAAACACCAAGTGCTATGGCTACATTCAGCTTTGATATATAAGGTACAGATCTGTTGACTCTAATGAAGGCATAACAATTTCTATCAATAAAAAATTTAATCTATGAGAGAAGGCCAATGTTTCCCTTTCAAAAAAAATGAAGTAAAATCAATTGAATAATGGAACTGAAACCCTTCTGAAATCCTGTAATAATTTCTTCATTCTTGTGTAGTAACACTGAATTTTGCCTACACTTGTAGCCAAACCAGAGACAATGGAGAGTAGACCTAAAAGTTCTTTCTTCCTCTGCATTTCCAGGTTGCTTGTAAGGCTGCTGTGGCATTCTTCCAGTTCAGTATTTTAGCCAATTTCTTTTGGCTTCTTATAGAAGGGATATACCTGCAAACACTGCTTTTGCTGACTTTCGTTTCGGACAAGCAGTATGTGTGGTGGTTCATATTTACTGGCTGGGGTTAGTACTCTTTTTCTCTTTACGTTATTTAGTATTTCCATTTGCTATCAGATCTAGATAAAATATTCGCTCTGAGATAAAAGGTACCTATCAAAGGTGCCACCTTTCTGATGAAATTTGCCCACTTATCCAGTACTACTAAATCAAAACCATACCATTATTCTGTGTTTCTATTTATCTTGTTAGATATTTAACTGTTCAAAACTTTGAAGGAGAAGATAGGATGGATTACTAGAAGCACTATGATATGTCTACTTGAAAGACTACAACATTTGTCTTTATGATTGGAATTAATTTCATGCAACTGCAGTAATTCAAAAGTTAGCCATCTAATCTAAAGTATCTCTCCAGGCTTCTCCTGCAGTCAGTAGAGTGAGGTATGCATGCTGTGGTGGTGATTAATCCAGTCCTTAGGAAGATGAGTAATGTGGCTGGATAACATCCTGGAAACATGTTGCCTTCCTCCACTGACTAAGGAAGTTTGGGTGACTAAGTTTAAGTTGATATTTTGCTTTTAGTAAGCAGAATTAGACAGATTAATATTAAATCATGTAGAGTTCAGGCCTAGGAATCAAAAAAATATATTTTTTTCAGAAACCTTCTGGCTTTAGGGTATCTTGAGTTTATACAGCAATTAAAATTATTTCTGATTTTTAGAATACCTGAATGTAATACATAAAATTTCTTTCACTACAGAGAATTGTTTATTGTGACTCTCAGATATTTTTGTACCTCATCTTGACTATTCTAAAATGGAGGAACCCAAATTGAGTGGCTACATGACATTTTTGGCTTAGGACTTAAATTCAAATTCTCCTGAAGTAAATAGGAATTTATCCTTCATCTTCAGATTCCCAGACCTTTTTTTTTTTTAATGTAATTAAATTTTCAAGTCTGAATTTTATAAAGGGGATGTTAATTCGGAGTTATTCCAATAATGGTATCCTGAAACTAGAGGCTTAGACCTTGATTAATCACAGATAACTTGAGGTAACAAAAGAAACACCTCAATTAATAATATGGTAATCCTCATCTCCTTCTATAATCAATGGCAAGTGGGAGACATCTCAGGGGCAACTCAGGTCTTAGGTGATACAGATGTAAATATTTCTCTTGATTAATTAAAAAGACAAATTGAGCTGGACATGGTCCCAGTTTAAAGGCCTTGAACAAAGGTCTAAAATTAGGAAGGATGACTTCTGTGTCTTTTCTACAGATCTTAAATTATACTTAGAAAGATATCTATATTTCTATAAATTTGTCAGTGAAAATGTCACCTGCTTCAGATTAGAGTCCCTTTGGTGTCAGCTTTGAAAGTCACTTAGTCCTTGGCAATTCAGTTCCACAGAATGAGAGCAAAAGCCATTGCAAGTTTATAGATCTGCTCAAAAAAAACCTCCCAGAAAACAAAAAAAAAAACCAAAAAACCCCAAAAGCCAAAGAATAAGCAGTAACAAAGTGAGACTAGAAGTCACCAGTTCATGGATTTAGTTAAATTTTCATGGAATACTCATCAACTGATGGGTCTATAGTGATTAATAGAGCCTCCTTAGGACAAAAATGTGAACTTTTCCACCTAGTGTAGAGAGAGTTGTATGCTGGTCACAATTCAAAAGATAGAAGAGCTTTAGCTAAATAAGTGATTCCTTCAGCTTCACAAGTGCTCCTAATTCATATCCAAACCTTCAAGTAATTCTTAGCTGTTGTTTTTTAAAAGGTAGTTTCACAACAACCTTTATTCTCCTTTGTTTTGATTTCATTGTGGGGTTTTGTTTGTTTGTTTGTTTGTTTGTTTGTTTGTTTGTTTGTTTTCCTGAACAGAGAATTAAGTTCTTTCATAAAGTTTTTTAAAATTGTCTGGCCCATTGTTTGACCTTTAACGTACATCCAATCTGCTGCACTGTGAACCATCTTGGAATAAAGTTTCCATGGGACATGGTATTCAAAACAATTATATTGTGTGTTCCATGTTCATTTGTCCAGGAGCTCCCACTGCCGTGATGTTTGCTTGGGTCCTCACAAGAATCCATCGACAAAATACCGGGTAAGTCAGAGCTTGGATAAGGAAGCCAAGGACATCCCATTTTGTATTGTATTTTGATTTGCTGGTGGGGAAATATAGATACAAAAAACAGAAAAGCAAAAAAAATTGTCCAAATTTGTACCTCTAATCTTTAAACTTCATATACAAATGAGAAAATAGTTTTAAGTCTTCTGATTTTGATGTGCATATATGGAATAACGAAACCTGGAAATATCGTAGTAAGTATTGAAATTCCATTTAGTTTCCTAATCCCCAGTCCTTGAAATAATTATATTTTAAGCAAATCATGGCTTCTGTATAAAATCAGCCATAAATTACTAATCCTAATCTCTTCCAGTAAGTATCTCCCAAGCAAACACATTATGTCCTGATAAGTAGTTTCTTCTTTCATTTCAATTCAGTTCTTTGATCCTTCTTTCTTTTTTCATTTTTATCTTTTAATACGAGAGCCACGTATAAAGTAGATGATTATTTACTAAAAGCTGCCCTGCAGGTCTTCAGGTCATTTTACACAGATGATCAGTTGGAAAAGATATTTTACACCTACCTGCTCAGGACTCAGATTAATGACATAGAAGCAGAAAGTTTGGCACCACTTTTGGCACATCCTATTTTCCTTTCTTTATATTACTGAAATACATCTGCAGAAAAAGTTCTCCACTGTAACATTTCATAAGTGGAAGTGGTCTACCTTTCCACATCATGTGTTTCCTTTTTGTAGCCAGGAGAGGTGCAAGGAAGATTTCATTTTTCCTCCTTTCCCACTGCTTGTCTTCCAAAGAATTACTGGGTTTATCTGTTGGATCTGTAGCAGAAGAATCTGGCACAAGATGCTCCAGTTACAGAGAGAGTTCAGAGAATGCTGGACAGCATGAATGAGAGCTCTGACAAGTTCTCACAGGCTTAAAGAGGAGGCTACAAAGTGTCTGAACTTTGGGTGCTCTTCCAGCAAAATGCCTACCTGCTCAGTTTACTTCTCTGATGTATTTTAGATGTCCAATTTAAGAGGAGATTAATTGTGCCCTGCTCTACTGATCTCCTTTGACTGCAAAGGAAATATAGCTGAAGAGATGAAGACATCTACATGGTCAGATGAATGTCATTGCAGATCCTCCGTTCATTTGCTTTTCTAATATTAGATATATAAACAAACTACAGCATCAGAACCACTCATCTTTTACCTAATAGCCTAGCAAATGGGAAACGGAAGTTCCTCAGACACAGGTGGTCTGAACTCACATTGCTCACATTGCAAAGATACACCTTACACTCAGACATGCCGGGATAAGCCATCTGTAAGCGTTATCGTTATGCACTCCAATCTCCGGTGTCACAAAACTGGAAGGGAAAATACAGTAAGAGGGAGCATGACATAACCTAGCATGTATGGCACTTGATTGGAGGGAGTTCAGCTGGACTGTTCTTGATGTTCAATACAAGAAAGCCTCAAAACAAGGACCGAAAGCCTCAAAACAAGGACCAAAAGCCCATTCTGCTCTCTCCCGTGAGGGTACCTTTACTAAGGCTGTAGATTTTTCTTGCCCATTTCCTCATGACCCCACAGTCATTACGGATGCACAGTAGTTTAGTCTCTGACCTGTACCCTGTAAATGAGCCACTTTTTCAACAGAAGAGCAGGTAAGAAGCCAGAAAATACAAATGTGCATTTCTTGACTTTGCTTTGGTTCTTCAACCCTTGCATCTTACTAAATAAAATTCCTTTAGATTGGGCTGCACGGAAACTTTTAGAAAGGTATCACGGTGTGAGTACTGGCAGGGGACTTTAAATAGTGATTTAAAACTTAGTATCCATCACTGTCCTGTTCTGTGACAGAAATACTTTCACGTGATGTGATAAGCTCACAGGGGGTAGATAACGACTGGTTTTGTTTGCTGTTTCAGATGTTGGGATGACGATGAAAATGGAGTGGTGTTATGGATCATCAAAGGCCCCATTCTGCTAACTGTATTAGTATGTTTTTTCATTTTGTCTTGAGTATCTTTTGAAATGTGAAAGCTAAGTTAGTGTCTCCTTTCAGTAGGCTGGAAGAAAAGCAATAGCACATGCTATGGTATTGAATTTCAAATACTTGGGAATTGTTGTACAGCATATGGTTTTGTTGTTGTTGTTTGTTGTTTTTGTTGTTTCCCCCCCCCCCAACACCCTAAATCACAACCTAAGGGGTAAATCTTATATTTTCTAGAGTCATGCTAGGACATAATGGAATCTTGACACCTCCATTCCACACACCACAGTTGTGTTTGTGTCTCTGTAAGTTATATCTGAAAAAATGTAATCCATACTAGCAAGACTCTTAGATAATATGAAGCTGGTTTAATACAAGAAATACATATCGATCATTTTATCTAGTATATTTTTAAAATGACTTCTTCTGCATCTGTTATAATCTCTGTCATAAACAATGAAGGGAACAGGGGGACTATTTAGACCTTGTAAGATCTGCTAGGTGCTGACAGCAAGTACTGGGACTTAATATGAGACATAAAACGGTGTTAAGATATGTAGGTCTATATTCATTCAACATAACTTTCAGCATATCCTTATGTATAACTATATATTGGTGGGAAAAATAATGCTATATCTAATATTATTGATTTGATCTGTGAGCAGATCTTCACTGATTTATACCAGTGCAATTCCTAGAACTGGGAGTTTTCAGTTAATTTGTATCAACTGAAGATATGTCTTGATTTGTACTAAGTTTACAGATTTTGTCTTGTCTTTTCAGATTAACTTTATTATATTTATTAATGTGATCAGAATTTTAGTCCATAAATTAAAATCTCAAGAGGGAGGCGGGAGCCATTCAAGCCACTTTGTGTAAGTATTTCTGGGTCTTTTGATATTGACCCATTCTAGCTTCTTTAAGAGATGTTTTATGGGCAGGAGCACAAAATGTTCTACTCCTTACTAATAGAAGGAGAAATCCCCAGAAGAAAAAACAATGTAAAATTTCTTTTTCATGCCAAATATCACATCTCTCTTTTTCTTCAGGGGGCGGAGGGTGGGATGGATGTGTTGGGGATGATGAGAAAAGTAAAATATAAAGTATTATAACTCCAATGGGACCCAGCTTTAATGTGTAAACACTAAATGTCAGGCAATGCATCCATCTTGCTTCCAGTCCTTTCCACACAAATGGCCACATAGAGAAAGATGCAGATGATTTCCTTTAAATTCTTAACAGTTACATGATGCTGATGTTCTGGGAACTGAACCCAGTCCTTCCTGTTTATGATCCCCTTCACAATCAACAGGGGTCTCATCAATACAGTCAGAGGACTCTAACGAGCTATTTGACTCATCCTGAAATATATAGGTTATATATTTTAGGTGTTTTATATATATATATACAGGTGTTAAATATGGCACAGGACCTAAGCTTAAAACTAGGAGTGAGCTCGAGATCAAGCAGAATACCGCAGGACGTCAGTGGCTCTCACACCACTGTTTAAGCAACTGAATCAAGTCCTGTGGACAGTGATGATTAGATCTCCACTGACAGTTTTGGAAGTTGAGACACATATAGGGGATTGTGATTGAGATTAGTCTCAGGAGAGTAGATCAGAATACTTAGCTTGGTGCCCCTGTTTTTGCATGTATAGCAGGGAGAAGGACCCTTAAAGGTCAATCCAGAAAACTTTCATGCTGATTTGTTCATCTTTGTTCACCAGGTGTTGATGTGGGGAGTGGTGGAAAGTAATCTTTCTGTAACTTCACTGGATGTAATTGCCTCCATTCTGGAGCTGTCCTCTGTATTAAAATTTGTTCCAACATAGAATTGCTATCACTAATTCCATATTTCTAACAGTGCATTGTTCTTTAATTCTTGGTTTGTCAGGAGGCTTGCTAAATCCACTTTACTCTTGATCCCCCTCTTTGGAGTGCACTACATTGTATTTGCATTTTTCCCAGAAAGCACTGGTCTGGAAGCTCGCCTTTATATTGAGCTGGGCTTGGGTTCTTTTCAGGTAAGCTGGACAAAATGTTTATCAGTCCTAAGAGGTTTGGGCTGAAACGCCACACGCTCAGTAGTTTTACATTTTAGGCTTGTTATATAATGTTAATATTATTATAGGACGAGAGGAAATGGGCTTAAGCTGTGCCAGGGGAGGTTTAGGTTGGAAATTAGGAAAAATTTCTTTATGGAAAGGGTGGTCAAGCATTGGAACAGGCTGCCCAGAGAGGTGGTGGAGTCCCCATCCCTGGAAGTGTTCAAAAAACGGGTAGATGTGGCACTTTGGGACATGGTTTAGTCTAGTCTACCCTTGGTTGGCTTAGAGTAGACTTGGTAGGGTAGGTTAATGGTTGGACTGGATGGTCTTAAAGGTCTTTTCCAACCTAAACGATTCTATGATTCTATGATTCTATAACACACACATTCTGTCTTACTCCTTCACAAGCTCTTTCTGTTGTTTGTTGCCTTATTATTTGAAATCTCACACTAGTTTTGAGTTTTGAGTCAGACTTCATATTAATAATCACAATAAAAAATACATCTACCTTTATTGAATAACAATGACTGAGTACCATGAAGACCAGTCTATGGATTAAGGTGAACTGATGAAAAATAATTCCACATATAATAAAGGTGATGATAAGAGGATTGAAAAAATGAGGATAATGTATAACAATCTGTTCTACCCCTACTCTTTAGCAGTGATGAATCCATCATGTTAATATTTCTTTGTTTCTTTTATTTTGCTATACCACTGTTCAGAACAATATCTTGGATTTGAGAGGGCCAGGGCCTGGGCATAGTACACTTTGTAATAAATAGCTGAGGTATTTTTCCTTCCCCTTTCCCCTGTACCCTGCAACAGCTTGTCCATGTTCCTATGTGTTGAAAATGATCCCTCTTCTTTGCTTACCTCTCAACCATGGCTGGACACTGTTTGGGAAAATACTTGCTGGCCCAAGACAAAGCTGTGTCATGGATCATGTTGACATTATAACAACATGTAGAAACACAGGTCAGTGTTCAGGGCTGTGCCTTGTTCAGTTTATTGATACAGATGTAGTCTAGCACTGCCCAGGGTTTGCACAATCTGTGAAACGGTTTGGCTCCCGGCTGGCTAACACTCCTGCAAACAAGGCCTGACTCTAGTTCTGGATGAATATGAACCCAAGACCTCTCCCAATAAGTTGTTTGAACACAACCATTGTTTTGTGAGTAAAATAATGTAGTTTAGCAGTAAAGATGCAAAACAAGAGCAGGTCCTGACCCCATTTATTCACTACTGTAAATATAGACTAGAACAAGACAGAAGCCCCTACTATCCTATCTGAGGAAGAACTTGTTTGTAAGATACAGTAAACGGTAAGTTAGTCCTTAGTGGCTCCATACAAGGCCAGTAATACTTGTCTTTGACAGGACAAGGAATAATGGATTTAAACTAAAGAAGAATAGATTTAGACTAGACATAAGAAAGAAATTTTTTACAATGAGGGTGGTGAAGCACTGGAACAAGTTGCCAGACTGGAGGCCCCATCCCTGGAAACACCCCAGGCCAGGTTGGACGGGGCTCTGAGCACCCTGGGCTGGTTAAAGCTGTCCCTGGCACTGCAGGGGTTGGGCTGGGGGAGCTCTAAAGGTCCCTTCCAACCCAAAGCGTTCTATGATTCTATGATTCTGTGATTCTATGTAGTGTCACCAGTCCATTGAGGAATTTAATCCTGTTATGAAGATCCAACAAATAGTGCCACATGACCTAAATTCCAATGAAACAATGGAAAATAAGTGTTTTTGTTGTCATACTCAAATTTTGAATGAAATCTGATGTCTTTCTCTCATTCTATGCTTTAAATGCTGACCGTTGCCTTTTTTCTCCCTACCCTCCCTGTCCTAGGGTTTTGTTGTTGCTCTTCTATATTGTTTCTCAAATGCAGAGGTGAGTAGCAAGTACATAAGATTATCAAAACTTTTTAAACTCATGGGCCTCGCTTGTTTTTCTCCCCCCCCCCATTTCCAGAACAGATCTGTGCTTTGATCTGCTGCTGAAAGCATGAAATACACATATCTCTTTTTCCCCTGGTACCTTTGTTGACTTTATTTGTATTCATACAGTTCTGACAGAAGGACACAAAATAAGCTTTGAAGCAATGACCCTTTACAAATTGTTGGTGAGGTAACTTTCCTGTCAAGGGTCTTTTTTTCTCCTTCATGTCCGATAGCTATCATGATGATGTCTCAATGGAAAGCTTGTAACACTCCTTTGGTGAGGTAACTTTCCTGTCAAGGGTCTTTTTTTCTCCTTTATGTCCGATAGCTGTCATGATGATGTCTCAATGGAAAGATTGTAACACTCCCTACTTTCTTTAGGTTTTTTTTTTCTCCTAGTGAGTTTCTTCCCTTTCCCTTTCCCTTTCCCTTTTCCTTCCGCTTTCCTGTTCATCTTCCCTTTCCCTTTCCCTTTCCCTTTCCCTTTCCCTTTCCCTTTCCCTTTCCCTTTCCCTTTCCCTTTCCCTTTCCCTTCTCCAGGGCAGCCCGTGTGTTTTCAGTAGTTTTGTTCCAGCATTTTCTTTCCTGTTTTTTGTAACTTTGTTAGAATTTGGATAAATTCCCTGTAGTACATTTTGGAGAGTCTGTCATTTTAAAAACTAACAGCTTCCCACAGAAAAGAGGAGAGCTACCTGGATTTCCCTGTGTAAACACTGTATGGATTGCCACAATTTGCTTGCACTTTCCCCAAATGCCATGAAAGAAGAGCCATGAGAAAATGTAAGAACACATCTTATCCTCAGAAAATTGTGTAGGTTAGATGAAAAGAGTGACCCACTAATGGTGCCTCAGTCTCCCCACTAGCTTACACTGAACACTTTCATAGAGATGGCTAAGTGGACGTGTAATTAATCCTACCCAGCAATGAATGATGCCCAAAATATGTTTGTTACTTATGAAAACAATTTATAATGGCTATTCTAGTGCTGTTCCAAGAGAGGGCCTTCAGGACTAACTGTAAATACAGAATGCTCTGCTTCCCACCTGCCTTCTGTCTGCATAGACTCCTTGCCAACAGACTTTAAATAGCTTGCATATTGTATCTTGCAACACACAAATATGCTACATGTTAAAAAATGGTCAGGCAGAGAGTGATCTCTGGCCCCAAGTTTTAAGTGGTATGGGTTGGCTTGCATCCATGCTGCTTAGGGATAACTGCTTCTGGAGCAGATTGGCCACTCGTTACAACTTGGCAGTGGATCCTTCCTGTATCTGCTATGGTTCCCTGCAATCATAAAAACTAATATTTTCTCTGTATGTGTTCCTTCTGTTTTAAGTATCGGCAACAATGTGAGATACTGTGCTGCTGCCAAGCAGGGTGGTGTCTGTATGGGATGAAACTGGTATTGTATGTCCTGTGTTTTGGAATAAAGTGCACAGGAGCATTGATGGGCCTTGAGCTTGCTGGGATAGTACTGGAGTACTGGGTTGGTGGAGGAAGCCCCCTTTTATTTACTAGAGCCTTGAAAGCTCCAGAGGGCATGTTCTGTCCATACTTTAAGTTTCACACAGGGGCTGGTGTGTCTGTGTGGTTAACAGAGAGATTAAAGGTAGAATAGGGACCACTTCAATGATAAATATTGCCAGTGACTTTGAGGGAACCCCTGATGTACTTCTGCATGTCCCACCCTCCTTTCTGTACCTCACTGTAGAGCCTGTACCAAGTGGAGGATTAGATAACAGAATTACTACATGAATTCCTAAGTTCAAAGTACTTAAATCATATTTGTCCATACACACATCCCCCTCAAGGGTTAATAGTTTCACTTAACAATTTATTTCTGCGTTTAATTTGGAGTAGGTTTGTGCTAATGGTGCTACAACTATAACACTGTCATAGATTTTCTGTGCTAATGACAGCCACAGAAGATGGCAGCTACCTGGTTAGAAGAATTTGACATGCCCTCTTAGTTTATGAGGGGATTTGTAAATTACTCTGCAGACATTCAGGAGAGCCACCACCCTTGCAGGAGAACCAGAGGGAGATGAAGCTGAGCATGAAAAGAGGTAACATGGCACAGCAAGCAATCAATCCATGGGAGCAGACTCCTCATGTGAACAGTGGCAAGGACTGGGTGTTTCCTGCACCTGCTTGCTCTCCCTCTGCTACAGCTTTGAGTGTGAGCTGCTTTATCTAGGGCAACAGAACCTACTTTCCTACTGTCCCCTCACCCCAGTCTCAGTAGTGTCAATAGCAGGCCCTGGACCTCCAGGTCTGTCGTGGTTC